ATAAACAAATAACATGTACTTTTTTGTATGGCTTATATAGAGGATTTCAGGAGTGATGATTGATCATTTGGGTGAGTTAAGTCTCTGATAGAGGCTCAGTGTTCTAGTGAATTAACTTACGAATGAATGTATATTGTTACGGATTGTCAGGAATTGAATATTTTATTTCTCTGATAAATAATCTGGGGGCTGGGAGTGTTGAAACTTTTACATGTTTGAATATTTTATTTCTCCGATAAATAATCTGGGGGCTGGGAGTGTTGAAACTTTTACGTGTTTTGGGAGAATTACAGGTATTACAAGGAAAAATAAATGTATTTTTTGTTAACAGCTGCCTATGGTGATGCCCGCTTCTTGTGTGAAGGGTATTACTTAACTGCACCAGAGATGGACGTCACATGCCTTAATAGTGAGTATTCTAAAAATCTTCTGTCGAACATACGGGTAGCAAAAAGCTCCCTGTATAACTGTTGTGATAACAGTATACAGAGAACAATCACTGACATGTCTTATTGGGATGTTATAATTAGGACCATCCAAATGTTCCTGTATCTATGTAGTGCTGTAGATATAACTACTGTACAGGTTTATATTTAATGATAGATTTCTTGTTCAGGATCCTCTACACCTCTATATTACAACCTATGACAATGTATTATGTTATATAGACGTTCCCTAACCAGAAGTATGTGTAGGTTATCATGTTTATCTGACTCGAGTCAATTAATTGTAAATTGTATTAAGACACAATATTTACCGCGTGTCTTTTTCAAATTTCAAATTAACTAACGGGAGTTAGATGAACTTGATAATTAACAATCACGAGATTGGGGACCTTTCCCTCCCACAACCTCCAGATTTAATATGTAGAAAACCATATCATTCTCTTTGAAATACATTATTCCTGTTCCCAATTGGGGAAATAATTGCCATGAACTTTGACATCACAATAGAAGATGACATAGCAAGGCATCATTACTTGATTTCATGATTAGGAAATTGACCGATGAAATCACGTCCAGGGTGATACCCACTGTTGGGTCACCTAAGGTGATTAACAACTCCTAGCAGGTTAAACCAACATGTTATAGTGGTTGGGAGTGAAAACTACTATTAACTTTTGTCAACTCTGACATTAAATATGACCTAACTAAAGAAACCACATGACTTTGTACTGTGATTCATACTGATGCAGAACCAAGGAATGCTGCATTACTTGTTATACCAGTGTTTAGGTCATATCTCACATTGTTTCTTGCAGTTATTATTGTTACAATCTAGAACACATATTTAAGTTGAAACATTGAATGTTAGTGTTAAAATGTACTTGCATAAAAAAACCAAATGAGAGTTTTTTATTTTTTTATTTACAGCTTATGACGAGGGTAAAAAGATCCAGATTGCTTTTGTTTCTTCCCATTTACTTCATATCCTTATTGAAATTTTGAAGGTAAGACATTTACAATCAAAGGGATACACAGTGTAGGTTTGATCAAAGAGATGAACACATAAACAGCAGCACAGTTTGCTTTTTGTATATCTGTAGGAGCGTATCATACTGATAATAACACTCCTATTTTTAATACCGTAAAACCTTTGTCTTCGATTTCCGTGTACCAAGGGAGATTATCTCTCATGTCCAAGATGGCGGTCTGCCAGAATCGTCGAACTTTTCATGAAAAAAAACCTTGAAATTGCTTACACTTATGTATTTTGCTCACCCCCAACTTTGGGCATTAAATTTTTCAAAAAAAGTGCGCAAATTACACGGGTTTTTACAGTACTTGTAACAGCATGGCAACAAAATATTCTGGGGGATGGAGGGGTTAGTAAATAGAGCATAAGCTTACAATTCAGGGTTTTACTGTATCATACACAAACATGCCATTTCTGTATAAAGTATATTTAGAGTGTTGTGGTTTTGTTATCAGAACGCCATGCGTGCCACAGTAGAGACCCACTCCAACAAGGACATCATCCCCAAAATATCGGTACAGATAACCAAAGGCAAGGAAGACCTCACAATCAAGGTAAGCTTGATTATCTCCCTTGAATGTCAGTTCAAATATGGTTTCAGGGGTGATTGAGTTAGATAACTGTTAACAGAATACTTAACCTAATTGATTTGTTAATTTATAAATGCCTGTTTTTTTCCAGATATCAGACCGTGGTGGTGGTTTCTCCCAAGATATAGCAAAGTTAGTGTTTGAATACATGTACTCCACTGCCCCACGGCCGGACTATGTTGGGGAGGGAAACGCCCCTATGGTAAGTTCCTTCTTGATATTATACTCTTGAGTACCAGTACTAATAAAATAAAATTGTGCAATACGTAGGGAAGAAATTGATTTAATATACCTGACAGTTTTTAGCTCACCTGGTCCGAAGGACCAAGGTGAGCTTATGCCATACCGCAGCATCCGTCGTCCGTCGTCCGTCGTCCGTCAACTTTACACTACTAGTCATGAACCACTGAGCGGATTTTAACAAAATTTGGTGTGCAGCATCCTTGGGTGAAGAAGAACCAATTTTGTATAAATGGTGGGTCTGGCCCCCAGGGGCCTGAGGGGCGGGGCCAAATAGGGGAAATATAGCAAATTATTCTTTAAAATCCTTCTTCTTCTGTAGGAATTAAAGGATTTGTTCCATATTTGGTCAAAAGCATCCTTTGGGGAAGGGGAACAAAGTTTGTATAAATGGTGGGTCTGGCCCCCCTGGGGGCTTAGGGGCGGGCCCAATAGGGGAAATATAGCAAATTATTCTTTAAAATCCTTCTTCTTCTGTAGGAATGAAAGGATTTGGTCCATATTTGGTGTGGAGCATCCTTGGGTAGTGGGGATCCAATTTTGTATAAACCATGGGTCTGGCTCCCCAGGGGCCTGAGGGGCGGGGCCCAATAGGGGAAACATAGCAAAAAATTCTTTAAAATCCTTCTTCTTCTGTAGGAATGAAAGGATTTGGTCCATATTTGGTGTGGAACATCCTTGGGTAAAGGGGAACCAATTTTGTATAAACGGTGGGTGTGGCCCCCCTGGGACCTGAGGGGTGGGGCCCAATAGGGGAAATAGACGTAAATCTTCAAAATCCTTCTTCTTCGGTAGGAATGGCAGGATTTTGTCCATATTTGGTCTGAAGCATTCTTGGGTGAAGGGGAACCAATTTTGTATAAACGGTGTGTCTGACCCCGCTGTAGGCAGAGAGGTGGGGCCCAATAGGGAAAATAGAGGTAAAACCTTTAAAATCCTTCTTCTACCATAGGGATTAAGGGATTTTATCCTAATTTAGTCTGGAGCATCCTTGGGCCAAGGGGACTCAATTTTGTATTAGCAGTAGGTGTGGTCTCCGAGGGGGGCAGAAGGGCGGGGCCCAATAGGAAAAATAGAGGTAAAACCTTTAAAATCCTTCTCCGACCATCGGGATTAAGGGATTTTATCCTTATTTAGTGTGGAGCATCCTTGGGTGAGGATGACTCAATTTTGTATAATTGGTGGGTATGACCCCCGTAGGGGCATAGGGGTGGGGCTCTGTTTGAAGTTTGTCCTCTATATCTCAAGTACTGGATGGATCTTTCTGAAATTTCATATGTACTAACAGCACCTACCATGGAGTGCTATATCTTAACTTCATACCAATTACTTTAATTATATTCAGGTGAGCGATACAGGCCCTCTGGGCCTCTTGTTTATGTGTCTCAGCCAGATATTGCCATGGGATAATGTAATTCATCGGTGAATATTGTATTATTTTATAGGGGATAAATTTTAAACCAAATGGCCAGCTTGGTCGAAATACTTTATTTAAGATGGTCTCCATGGCCTCTGATTGGCTATTAGCAATATTGGCTCTAACTTCAGTTCTATAAGGACAACATTGTTGATACTTTGTGGGAGTGACACATAGAGGCTATGCTTTGTAATGAAAGGCTGAATTTTAAGCTTCAGGATTCAAGATGGCCACCATGGCTTCTGATTCACTGAAGCAGTAAGGGTTATAACTTGAGCTATATTCGTTGACCTTATTGATAATACTTGGGAGTGATGCACATGGGATAACCTTATGTTAAAAGGCAGAACAAATTTCTGGATTATAGGTGGCCTGACATTAGAAACTTCAATGCATTAGTATGCCTTTGGATTACAGCGTTCAAACTAAACTGACAAAAACGCACCAAAATAAAAAGCATATGTGCAAATCTTTGAGTTTATTTTCATAATACATGTAAACCATTTTTAGCCAGTCTTCTATAGTGTTTACAGTATATCAATAGTGTATGCCATGATACAAGGAAGTTGAGAAATCCAATCAGTTGTACCTGATATATGTTTGTAGGCAGGGTATGGATATGGACTGCCTCTGTCAAGACTGTATGCTCGATACTTTGGGGGAGACCTACAACTCAGCTCTGTAGAGGGTTACGGCACAGACGCATACATCTACCTTAAGGTACTGTATATCGCGGTATATCCTTAAGCATGTTACTTCATTGTCATCATAACAAATATTTGGAAGGTGTCTAAATGAGGTTAAATTTTTAATACAGTTTGATGAATGAAAATAAACTTTTCATTTGTTTAAAAAAAAAATGTTAATGCATTCTTTGGATCAATATTTTGTGTAAAAGTGTAAATGTATTTGACTAGTCACGGCTGTGCTTACCATTGTACAGTGTTTACTGTTTGAGCCAATCCTGTGGAATTGACCTTGTGAAAAAGAATGTAATTTATGTGTTAACAGGTGATGTCTGACAATGCTAGCGAGTGTTTACCAGTATACAACACAACAGCTTCTAGGATGTACCATTCAGACATACCTGTATCTGACTGGAGCTCCAACAAACCCTGGCACAAATCACACCCACGAGGCTACACCACTCACGCTAAGAAAAGTTAGTCAGGTGTCAAAGGCCATCCAAGTATGGAGGTATACTCTCCTTGTGACATTTCGTTGATGTCTCCAGGTCGTGCAGGACGTACCTTGGCTAAGAGCTTTGCTGATCATGAACATATGTGTGTGCCATTCAGGGATCTATATTTATAGTAATATTGTTCATTGCTCTTTATTTATCTATTGCATGCCTATTACAAATTGTGATGCCACTATATAGTCCTACTGCATTAGAATGCCATGCCTGAATTTTGATGTCATTTTTGTATTTATATCATAATGGTACTATTGAACACAGACCGTTATTGGAAAATATTTGTTCTTTTTATTAAACAAGAACTCATGTTACATATATCTAACTTTAACCAAATGCTGAACTAAAACAAATTCATTGAATTTTCTCTGAAGTTGAATGTTCTGAAAATAGTGTATATTAAAGCTCATCGGATGACCTAGTATTAGTAAATCTGGCTGTACTTGTGTGTAACTGTTAGGAGTGACATCATAGATGTTGACCATCCTGCAGTCAGCAAGACCTCTTGTGATCTGACTTTTATTTCGTCTTCATTCTAGTTATTATCCTATGGGGGAGATCATTTGAAAATTTCATATCAGTCATAATGATTTATTTGCAAATAGAGATACAGATGTATCTTAGTTTCCTAGAATATTGATACAATAACATATTCATCAACTATGAAACATTTGATGATAGTCCCAATGTGCTCATATCTGTAGTCCACAACTTTTCAAACATTTTATTAGCTCACCTGGCCCGAATCGTCCGGTGTCTGTCGTCCGTCAACTTTTTCCTTTAAAACACTACTTGTCCTGAACGGCTCAGAGGATTTTGACCAAATTTGGTCTGGAGCATCATTGGCCAAAGGGTTCTCAGTTTTGTATAAACGGAGGGTATGGTCCCCCTGGGGGCAGAGATGCGGGGCCAAATAGGGGGAAAATAGGTAAATAGAGGAAATTGAGGAATTTTTTTCTCCTGCTATACAAGTAAAGGGATTTAAAGCAAATGCAGTCTGAAGCATGACTAGGGGCAAAAGAATCAATTTTGTATAAACTGGGGTGTGTGGGCCCCCTTCTAGGGGCAGATGGGGGGGGCCCATTAGGGGAAATAGAGGAAAACTTCAAAGATCCTACTCCTTTTGTACCGATGAAGGGATTTTGACCAAATTTGGTCTGGAGCATCATTGGCCAAAGGGTTCTCAGTTTTGTATAAACGGAGGGTATGGTCCCACTGGGGGCAGAGATGCGGGGCCAAATAGGGGGAAAATAGGTAAATCTTTAAAAATCTTCTTCTTCTCAACCAATAGAAGGATTTTGACCCAATTTGTCCTAGAGCATCTTTGGACAAAGGAGACTCAAGTTTGTATAAACTGAGGGTGTGGCCCCTATGGGGGCGGAGGGGTGGGGCCCAATATGGGAAATAGAGGTGGGTTTTTTCTCCTACTATACAATTGAAGGGATTTAAACCAAATGCATTCTGAAGCATGATTAGGGACAAAAGAATCAATTTTGTATAAACTGAGGTGTGTGGGCCCCCTTCTTTGGGGCAGATGGGTGGGGCCCATTAGGGGAAATAGAAGAAAACATTAAAAATCCTTCTCCTTCTGTACCGTTGAAGGGATTTTAACCTAACTAAACTTGTTCTAGAGAATCTTTGGGCAACGGGAATGGACTGTAATAGGTATTATGGTATAGTGTTGTATGGCTGACTGGACATAGATGGCTGGCTGTGTGTCAACAATGTTAACTTGCTGTTCCAATCCTTAATTCATCAAACTTGCTTTACTTGTGTATTTTGGGAAGTTGGAGTGTGGCATACCTAAATCAGATCTTGTGCTTTGATGCAGAGAGATTTGTGCCCCTTTGTCCTTTTTTGATAAAAAGGTTTTTCCATATCATAACTTCCTTGCTATTTCACTGAACAGAAACTTGTTATTATTGTATATCTTGGGAAGGGAGAGTTTCTAATTTTGTAACATCAGTTGAAAATCAAAATTGATAATTGAATGTCATACTAAAATTGTTACTTTGCCTCACTGCATAAAATAATGGCTACATATTTCATTTGCGAAACATTGGCAAAGGGAGGCAATTCTTTTAAATATTAAGACAAAGAATTAATGAAGTGCATCCTCTCTTATTCCTTTTGCTAATAATATTTGTTCTGGTCTGCAGTACTCTTGTTTATACTTTTTAAGAGGAAATTTAGTGTCAGGTTTGGTGTGTAAATATCAATTCTTTTACATTTATTGGTCTTTGTCCCTCGAAAGAGAGAGCCTGTAAAATAAATACAGTAAATGTCCTAATTCCTAATAACTACTATTATCTCTAATAATGGACAATTTATATACATAATTGTTCATTATAATATAATAAGTTATTGTTACATTTAAATCAGACTTTGTAGTCAGTCTGTCTTACCAGGGCCTCGGCCAGGTAGTATCCCGTGGCAGGTAGCTATAGCTGCAGGTACCAGGGCCTTGGCCGGACAGTACCCCGTGGCAGGTAGCTATAGCTGCAGGTACCAGGGCCTCGGGCTGGTAGCTATAGCTGAGTTAGTCTGTCTTACCAGGGCCTTGGCCGGACAGTACGCCGTGGCAGGTAACTATATCTGCAGGTACAAGGGCCTCGACCGGACAGTATCCAGTGGCAGGTAGCTTTATCTGCAGATACAATGTACATGTATGCTGATCTGCTGCTCAGCTCAGAGCGACTGGACAAGGGTTTGTGGGGGGTGAGGAAAAGTGGTTGTGCATGCGTCGTTCATATAGACCGAGCTGCATGCAAAACATCAGGTAAACGTTCTCTCACTCAGGTGTGACATAAACATACACACATACACGTGGCTAAGCCTATGTTTTTGGTAACCCTAGATATAAATAAACACCCAGTCTACATCAGTATGTCAAATGGAAATCATGAGTGACAAAAAACTATATGCTTTCTCAGTATCATGGTTGAGAACTTTGTAAACAAAGTTTTTTTTGTTTTGTTATTGAAAAAAAAAATCACTTCTAATTTGTCTACATTTTTACAATTTTTGCAATGCATAGATCATGGTTGCCTTACAAATTATTTCAGAAAATGTTTGATGACAAATTAGTCTATTAATAACTGCTTTCTTTGTAAACTAAACAGTGACATAATTTTTGTTTTAATAGTCTTCATTGTTAACATTTTTTAGGTATATGAAGATGTTCATGAGGAGATGGTTTATTTGCATGCTTTCTATTTCAGATTTTGTTGAAAGGTTATAGCTGTTTCGTGTTTATTATTTATAACACAGAGAGAAAAGAGATTTTTTTTAAACAATGTTTGCAAAATGCAATGGCAGTTTTCGTTGCAATTTTTTTAATGAGAAATCAAATATCATGAATTAATCATTGATGGGACTGGACTGTTAGTTTCACAGGGCATATTAAAACCTTATGGCACTTTATCCGATAGCCAGACATGTTCTCTATTAAAAGTAATTTCTTGGAAATTGGAATGTTGCAAGAAAAAGATAGTATTCTGAATTTATGTATCGGTAAGTAATTTATTAATTTGATGCTTCAAATGACGTGTTGTCAAGTATTTATGTGAAAAACATATCTTCCAGTCCTGATGAAGCCTCGCACATAGAGGCAAAACTAGTCGGCCAAATAAATTAAATACCCACTTACCGGCGACACTTGAGCATATTTTGATTGAGTCTTCTCTCTTATCACCCTGTGTACCTTGGGTATCTTTACTTAAGTGAAGCACCCCACTTAACAACCCATTGGCATTTGGATAGACGTTGGCTCTACTATCCTGTTTAAACTTCCAATGCATATTATAAAGTCCATATCGATATGAAATATCTTTACAAACGACTTGTAATGAGTGCACAGGTGATTATTACAGGTGATAATGCTGGTGTTCATTGGACATTGTAAATGCATTTAAGTACTGACATGTACTGTACCACAAAATACATAATTACGTTAATAAACTAGTCTTTACATTGAGTCTGTGGATTACAAAATGGTAAGATTTGAATATTAGTATTTAGATTCTTCCACATAGAAGTGTCCAATATAGTGCATATGGTGATATCGTCTTACAGAGAATATAAGTATACATGCAGATGTCTACATTGTTTGGGATAAATTTAGTATCAATATATGCCTCTTATGTAAAACCAATTGATCTATCTGGTCGCCGACGATCTACCCAGTCTAGCTCCGCTACATTCCTCCCTCCTTTAACAAAGTCTTATGACCCCGAAGACACACGAGACCCTATTCCACCTTCTGTGGGTATATTTGTTGGGTGCCAAATGTAACAGGAGAGGAAAAATGCACAGCCAGACCGAGGTTCGAACCCGGGACCTTCCGAACTCTTGACAGATGCTCAACCAATTGACCATCTGGTCGCCGACGATTGACCCAGTCTAGCTCCGCTACAGATATATTAACCATTCAGTGTATACGGAGAAGGTTTTAATAACTATTGTGTACTTCTTCTAATCATAAACTATAACTGAACAAGTTGTCCTTTTCCTTTTTTTTTATTGTCCAAAAAAGTAGTGGGAAGAATAACAAATTCATTTGAAGCTGAGGAGACTACCGGAATATGTGTGTTTAAAATGAAAATGGTCCAGTCCTTTTACAAATTTATCCACAATGATGTATAACTTACAAGAAGTAGAGTACGTTTGTTTTTTGTTCATATGTATGTGTGATGTAAATAAGTTAAACATTGTAAGTGTACAGTGTATTTGTATACATTAGTATGTATATGTTAAAGTTGCATGATATGTACAGAAGTATATGTACATTACCTGTACATAAAGTGTACATTAGTGTATATCACCTGCACATAGTGTACATTAGTGTATATTCTATGTACATTACCTGTACATAAAGTGTATATTCTATGTACATTACAGTATAATGTGACCGGGTGGGGCGTCCTGCTTGGTGTCTTCGGCAGAATGTTTCAGTTAGGTAGCACTATAAAGTAGGCATCAGTTTCGCGCTATCACAAGGAGACAAACACGAACATATCGCAGCCTCCCAATATACACACACACATACACTACACGCATGCATCTTGCACCCAGGGGAGGCCGTCCTTAAATGACCTTAGCTGTTAATAGGACGTTAAACAAAATCAAACAAACAAGCAAACATTACCTGTACATAAAGTGTATATTCTATGTACATTATGTTTGTATTACCTGTACATTATAAATCATGTGTTTGTTCTGTATGAAGTAACTTCAGAATGTAATAGGATTTATATACTTAGTAGCTGTATTTGTTTGTATACCATTTCTGTAGACGGTCCAGATTTATGATAACTTGCCCATTTTGTCTTATACATCGATGTATGTTTTTACATAAATTTATCATTGTAAGTACCAATAGTGATATCCCCAATTATTTTTGAAAATATGGTTAATCTCCCAATATTTAGTCCCAGTGATACAGATTTCCCTTTTCTGTTCTGTGTATATCTGTATATGTTGCATGATAAAATTGTGCCTATTTTGTATATCAGTGTTTTGTACGGTTTTGAAGCATACATGTATTTGCTTCCTGCCAATAGGTTTTACGCCACGTGTCATTCTCTCTAGCCCCTCCCTCACACACCAAGTCTTCATTTCTTGCATATATATATATTTATGTTTTCCCCATGTTTCACCCATTTTGAATTTATATGGATAGATGACTAAGCATCGTGATGTTCATCAAGTATTGATATAGTAACATCAAGATTATTTTAAAATGAAAAATTAGAGTTAATAAAAAAAATAATAATATCAAATTTGTATTGTTTTAATTTCTGAAAAGCTGCTAAATAAGTATTTGTGTAGTCCTAAAAAAATGTATACAACAAGGTTACCGCGAAGGGGTACATAATTCACCGTAATATGTCGAATGAGCATTTGTTTGCATCATTGAAAAATATGAAATATTTGTGAGTAATTTGTTAAATGAGCAATAATTCAACATACCTGGTAGATCAATGAGTGCAATACAACATTTTGGAATGCATGTAGTACTGCATTAATGAACCAAGGGGAATAACTCCGTAAATTACGATCTAGTAATGGTGGTTATCAAACCGAGCTCTCCTTATAATTAACCTTCCAATGAAGTATGAAGTCAATCCATTGAAAACTGAAACTGTTATCCAGAGCCTAACTAAGATACCCCCTGTATCGCATAATAACACATAGGGAATACCTGTCCTCCATTAAAAAGGTAAAATGAAAAAATACTACCTAGCACAACTCGGATAAATCTCTGTTACACTCAAGTGGCTATGATTGTTTTGGTAAAAACCTTTTGTAATAATGTAATTGACCTACATTTCATTAATGAAATATTTTTCTTTAGATGATGAAATGGTCATGTGTACGAGGGTAAATTGAAATCAGTTTAACAGTTAAGGAGCTGTAAGGCAGATTGAATGGCGGCAAGATGAAGAGATTACAGTATCACCCTTGTTGTAGGGGGCAAAAAAATATGACAGGTAAAAATATATGATGGTCTTGTATAGGATTTTTGGGTCTACCATTGGAAAATCTCTGTTAGATCTGATTTGCGTTTGATCTGTTTCTTTATTTCTCTAGGATTAATATACTACTGTATTGCCATGAGTAAATGCATCTTAAGTCGACTTTCAATACAGATACAAAACTGTACAAAAAATAGTTCACATGTTAAGGCTAGCCGATGGTTCCGATGACAGCTAGCTGGCCATTTCCTGTTTTCTGATCAATTTCAAAATGAAACTTGTGTTACTCTGATTCAAGGGGAACTTTTATATGGAATTAAACAAGAGGCCCAGAGGGCCTGTATCGTTCACCTAATTATGTTTAAAATAATTGGTATGAAGTAAAGATATAGCACTCTATGGTAAGTGCTGCAAGTACTTATGAAATTTCAGAAAGATCCATCCAGTACTTGAGATATAGCGAGAACAAACTTTTAACAGAAACCCACCTCTATGCACACCCACCGTGTATACACGGCCTAAGCTTGCTCCAGACCAAATTTAGTCAAAATCTACTTGGCCGTTCAGGACTAGTAGCGTTTTAAAGGAAAAGTTGTTGGACGGACGACGGACACTGCGATATGGCATAAGCTCACCATTGTCCTTCGGACCAGGTGAGCTAAAAATGATTTAAGTAAATCTGAAATAATAGCGATAACAAACTTGAACTTCTCAAATCCATGATTGCTGCCCTTGACACCATTTTGTTTTTTAGAATCGGTATCAAAATGAAATATACACAACTGAGGACTGAAAATAACCGTCATATGAAATCGGAGAAAGGCTCGTCCAGTACTCTGGAGATATAGCAATAATGTAATAACAGCTGTATGACGGAGGAAGGGCGATTTAAATACCTCACCAGCATTTGACATTGGAAGCTTTATCATAAAACAAACACATCTCTTGTTTAAAATTATTTAATCACAATAAAATAATAATAAAAATATTTTCATTATCCAACCTTTAACAGAAATGTCCTCTTGTCTTATCTTATTTTTTTTTAAACCATTCCATTAATTAACATTTTCTTGCCTCTCAGTGTCTCAACCCAAACCTTTTCATTTACATAAATAAATATTACATTCCTGTCACTCCATGAAGTCAGATGTATCACCACAACCCATCACTTTACTCAATACCCCCTAGTACATATGGCCATTTCTTTCGCATAAACCCTTTGCCCCATCCCCAACCCTGTTTTTAGACATGGTCATCTTTTCTGCCCAATCCCACAGCCCTACCTATATCCATCCCGACAACATATTTTGTTCCCCTAACTCCACACTCTGACAAACCCACCCCTTCATGCTGTTAAATGTATTCCCCTTGCCTCCACCCAGACGCAACACTTGTCTCCTCTGCCAAGGTTATACTTTCGACCTTACCCCACCCACTCACTCTTCCACTTATCCAACGCACAAGAATACAATATCCAATCATCTCTAATAGAAGATTCAAATACCATTGACATCTGCTTTCGAAAGTTTTTTTTTTTACATGGACCATCAATCTTATCATAATAGATAAAGCAAGAATATCACATCAAAAAACCAATGACCTGTAACATGATAATAAAAAAAAGGTATTTTGCTTCAACGCACAGATCACAAATGTCCATTTCTGCTTCCTCCTTTGTATAGCTAGCAATAAAATAGTTTATTAAAGACTTTTTACAAACATTAAGTACACATTAGCAAAAAGAAACGTGTAATACATGTACTTTTGCATCTAACAGAGTGCAAGCACTCGTACAAGAAATTTAAAAATGTTCACATCACACCATGAAATAGATCCGAGAGTCACCAAGGAACAAGGACTATTCTATGTATAATGTATTACATTTTAATCATGCGTTACTGAAGTGACAAAACTCATTGTTAGAGGAGCATCAAACCATTGCACCGGTACATTTGACTGACATCACAATATTTTTATTTCCTGCAGTAATCAAATGCAGCAGCCTCTGTTTCGTCCCAGTTCAGTGAGAATCACAAGTTTTTTTCACCATAAACTGATTTCTAGATTGTCCCTGTATTTTACTCATGTTTGTTCTGCATGATATCACGACATGATCACTGGCTGACATTTTTTCCCATGTTTTAAAAAGAAATCATGAAACACTAAGATTTTCATCAACCACTCAAGATTACAGTTGTAATACACGGGAGTTATAAAAGAAATTGCATTAAAACTGTTGACATACCAATTTATCACAACTGTGAGAAGCATGCCAGCAACAAGTTGATGTATTCTAATTCACCCAATCTTTGAGTATTAACAAGTCTTAAAATGATCCTGAATTGTAGTGTAAATGCCAATCATGTGACCACCAATTAAGCGGGCAAGCTTACAGTAAAACTTTAAACATACTTCATGTATCTCAAGTTGTATGTACATCTGGTCCTTTATTGAACATGTAAGATGTTTTTTTCTTGATAAGACTTATCAATTGGTCTGTCCTGGTTTGTCCTTAAAGATGATGGTTTCCACTATGCTCTGAGTTCTTGGTTTTGAAGGCAGTGCTGCCTTTGGCTTCCTTCCTGCAATTACTGCCTCTACATCTTCTTTGGAAAGAACTTCATATTTCAACAAAGCAGCTGCCAGGCGGTTAAGGTCATCTCTGTGTTTTTTCAACAAATCCATGGCCCGTGCATAAGATTCCTTCAAAAAAAGATCAAGTAATGCAATCATAACAATAGTAGCTAGAAATGTGTCTATAACAGATAAAGTAATAAATCATAACACTAATAGCTAGAAATGTGTCTATAACAGATAAAGTAATAAATCATAAAACTGATAGCTAGAAATGTGTCTATAATAGATAAAGTAATAAATCATAACAATAATAGCAACTGTAAGGCACGGAGGCACTGCTCTCCTACTTAATAACTAGAGAAAGGTCCCATGTTCTACTCTAAGGAGCCTAATCTTGTAAAGTTGTGTGACCCTAGCTACAATGCTTGGTTGTTCACAGGCATCAATACAAAAACTACTCTCTGGTCGGACGCAGAAAATGATAACACCATATCTCTGGCAATATTTTTTGGCAGGGCATGTTATGTAATAATGCCAATAATAAAAAGGCACCTATGAACAACAGCAACACTATTTATGTCCCGCATCATTTTGTAGCAGGACATAAAAATATCATTTACATAAATATTTATATTTCCATTGAAAAGCCTCTTAATAAAGCAGTCAACCTAAAATAGTGTTGTACTTGGTAAAAGCCTGTTTTCTATTGAAACTTTCTGTCATACTGTTTATCGCGTCTGTTATAATAATAAGAGACTAATAATTAACATAGTTAGATGTATTCATGGTTAAGAACTTAAAAAGATTTTAAATATTAATTGAGGTTGAGCTAACTTGATACAAAGTTCTTACATTCAGCAGACGTTGTACTTCCTTGTCTATGAGGTCCTGCATGGCACCAGAAGGTTTGAGAGAGTCACTAAAAACAATCGTACCAACCTGAAAGTGAACAAGACACCAGATGTGAATATCATTAGTTCATTTCTTAGTTCTTCATTTCTAATGTCCCCTGCTATTACAGATTTTAGGATATATAATTGAAGCTATTATACAATTGCAAAATATGAAATAAAAAAAAAAACAAGAGGCCTAGTGGCCTTAATAACTCACCTGGTATTTCATTTTCAATTCATAACTTGCTAAATACTGTACTAGTTTATCAAAGAAGTACAAGAAATATAAACTGCAAGAAGGATTAAATTTGTTTGGGCAGGCAAGGCACCAAGGACATGAGTGGATTCTTCATGCCCTGTAACTTTGCATGTGGTTATTGGGTAGGTATCTCAACTGTTTCCATTTTATGAGCTAGGGAGCTAGTTAAAGGTTAGAAAGTGGGGATCCTGACCGTTTCCAAGTTATATCTTAATTTCCCTATCAAAACCAACCGTTCAGATTGTAACAGACCCAGTGCTTATTCTGGTAGCATGAATAGCATTTTCTAGTTATGCTGAGTATGAGTATACATGGATATAGGTTGGGGATTACAACCAATTCCAAAATATTACATAACATCCTCAGATAGGTCCTGAGTGAACCGCGTTGTCCCTAGGAAGGGAACACCCTTCCTTGAAACAAAATTGAGTCCCCTTTGCCTAGTGATGCTCTTAAGTAAATGTGGTTTAAACTTATACAGAAGGACAAAATGTTTTAATGAAAAAACTTTATCCCTCTCCCGTCCATTTATTCAAATTTTAGTCCCGTTTGCCCTAAGAAGCTCTAGAATATTTGGTTAAAACCTGAAATTGGTACTGATGAAGTATTTTTGAAGATTTACCTTTATTTCCCCTATAAAGACTAATAGAATCTTTCACCCCCTTGGGGGTGAGACAGGGTAATCTTCCCCCGAGGGTTGGGATCACACTGTCTCACTCCCAAGGCGGTGAATGATTAATAGAATAAATCGCTACTGGTTGTGTAAGATAGAGAAATCGCAACCCTCGGAATAAGATTTTTTGTCCAGAACTCCGCAAGCCTCGTTCTGGGCAAAAAAACTTAGTCCTCGGGGTGAGATTTCTCTATCTTACACAACCAGTAGCGATTGATTCTATTAATCATTCACCGCCTTGGGAGTGAGACTGGGTGATCCCAACCCTGGGGGTAAGATTCTTAAGTTGTCAAACACGAGGCTTGGCGAGGGTTTGACAGCTTAAGAATCTTACCCCGAGGGTTGGGATCACCCTGTCTCACTCCCAAGGAGGTGAATGATTAATAGAATCAATCGCTACTGGTTGTGTAAGATAGAGAAATCTCAACCCGAGGACTAAGATTTTTTGTCCAGAACGAGGCTTGCCGAGTTCTGGACAAAAAATCTTAGCCCGAGGGTTGCGATTTCTCTATCTTACACAACCAGTAGCGATTGATTATTTTTCTCCCATATCTAACAGTATTTTAATGTGAAATAAAGGCAAACATGGACCCAAAACACATACAGGCAATTTGTTGATGGATTGTTGACGTGACGTCATTGTATTTTTGAAGTGACGTCATGCCATTGTTATGAATAGGGGAATCCCCCCGTCTCAACCCTAGGGCGGAGATAGATAAATCTATCACCGGCAAAACGGGAGATAAATCTGTCAGGTGTGGGAGAATCATTTTCTCTTACCCTGTTTATCCTCTTAGGCATTTTATATAGATGTTACATCAATGCAAGACAATGTTGATGTGATGCGGCTGAATTGTTGCCATGACGTCATTGTATTGTTGCCATGACGTCATTGTATTGTTGCCGTGCCGTCATGATATTGTTACTATGACGTCATATAATTGTTGAGAACATGCAAGGAACATGTGTAGCTTGTCTCAACCCTAGGGTGTGATAAGAAAATCTCACACTGGTAAAATGGTGGATATCCCTGTCTAGGGTAAGAGAAAAATAAGACTCTTCATCCTCCTATCATTACCTACCTTCTCTGACATCCCACACTTCTCAACCATTGATCGGGCAATAGCTGTGGCCTGCTGGAAATCTGCTGTAGCTCCTGTCAAAATAATGGTGACAAGATACAGGCAGTGTTTGCTTTGAACTGTTCTGTCAACAGCCTTCAGTGTAGCTGTGGATACTACAGCTCAGGGGCCTGTGTACATATCCTGACTGAAAACACTCTTCATATAAAATTTTATCTGATGAAGAAAAATCTAAAGGAAGTTTTTGAAGATGTACCAAACATGAGGTTTGCATGAAACTCAAGCAAATCTCAAAAGTCTTTGAAGATGTCCAAAATGTGAGATTTACACGGAATTCAGTAAAGACAATGGGGTCCTGCAAGACAGATGTGAGGAAACATTCCCAATTTCACAACCTGGTTAATTTCTTTTTCAGACAATGTAATCTAATGCTATACTTTCTATATAGATATGGACCCATACAAAGTACACAAGATACACTTTGTAGGTACAAGATTGCTGGTCTGTTTATGCAGTTTTACACCTCAGAACCACTCAAAATTATCTGCTTAACTTTGATAAATGTATCATGACTAGTTGATGTATTGTGTATTGTTTCCAGATTGAAGCTCAAGGTAACCTCAAAGCAAACAGCAGACCAAATACCATGAATCTAAGCCTTGTTGTTCTATTGAAGAGGTTATTTGAAATGAAGTTGTAAATGAAGTGTCTAATATTCCACCCACCAGTGCCGACTTTGTCTGATCCAAACACGAGCTCCTCTGCTACACGCCCTCCCATAGCCACGTCCATGTTGGCCAGCAGTTCTTCCTTTGATGTACTATACTGATCTTTTTCCATACTGAAGGCAGTCTGCAATAAAAATGTATCTGGTCACCTGTACTTAGGATAAACAGAATGCAAACATGACATGTGACCGTTTTCATTATAATTAAGTAAATCTAAGAACCAAGAATGAAAACAAAGGAGTTGAGATACATATTTAAAAATATCTATTCATGATTTGTAACAAAAGGGTATGCATATTCAAAGCAAAACCTCACTTGAAATTTTGAAGTGTTGACAAAGTGGCATAGGCCTGCTGTAAACTTGCATGCATTATGAATGATGACCAAATATGGCAAAACTATGGTCAGTCTAAATATGTATATGCATGAAATGTGTGAAAGCAGCTGTTGTGTATGTAATTCTGCTGAGGAAAGACCTTACTTGACATTTTTAAGTTTGAACTAATTGTTATAGGCCTGCTGTAAACCTGCATACAATACCAATGTCTGTGTGTGGCAAAAATATGTATGAACTGTGTGACAGTGCCTGTGGTGTATGTCATAAATTCTAGTGGTGCCTATGCCAGGCAAAACACAGCTGTGGAAAGACTAAATGGCGTAAGTCTGCTGCAAACTTGCATGCATTATGAATGACATCCAAACATAACAAGAGATCCCATGTGAGTATCGTGCTATTGAGACATAATGTATAGCTTAAAACTTGTAGACAAGAAATCCCAGAGGGATCTTGGCACCCACCATTGTACCATCTTCATTAGTTCTTTGTCATTTCGATCTTTTCTCTTCTTTCCTCTAATCTGTTTGATCGAGTCATGTTAAAAAGTAAATGCACCTTGAGGTAACTTTTGATCTAAACTTAATACCAATGTGTATGAAAGCCAACCTTCAAAGTGAGTTTGTAATTTTCACATAAATAGAATCGATCATTGCAATATGAGAAAGATCTGTTTAGTTCTTCCTTTAGCCATTTTGTTTTACAAACCTTCAATGTCATAAATCGAAGATAGCTGTCGGTAGGCCATTTTGTTTAACTGATCAGTTTCAAAAGTAAACATGAACAATAATGGATAGTGGGGAACCTGCATTGGCTGGCTCCAAATAATTTTTTGGGTCGAGAAAAAAATTTGAAGCACTTACCCAAATGACATATTGGTGGCCCAAATAATTTTGGTAAGAAATATTTCCACAGCATTTAACACTAGCTTCAGCACATTTAAATTACATATAACATGACAATGTTTGTAATATATAAAACAGAATAAAACATTATATTTGTAATTCTTCAACCCTAGTTAAAACCTGACATGATCCACTCCATTCAGGTCTTCCCAAAAAGAAATACACAAAACTTGCACCTCAAAGAAGACACCCCAACAGTATTTATATAGAAAATCTGAAACAAAATCATCACATTTTCTAAATCACGGTTCGAAAAATGTACTGCCCCCCCAAGTCAATGTGAAAGGGACTATAACTTCTTTTATTCAATAATTTTACGACAGTCGCCCAAACTATTTTTGTTGAGCCAGTGACTACTTCACTTTTGACAACTTTTGGTCACTCGAGCAATACTTAAACCGCCATTGGCGAGCAGGCGACCGTCTATTTCAGGCACTGCTGCTCAACAAGGAAACAAGGGGAGCCTACATATAAAATTTGAGAAAGATCCCTCCTGTACTTCCCGAGAAATAGCGTTAACAAACTTTCACTATCAAAAACAAAGATGGCTGCCTGTCGCCCATGTTGTTTCAAAACAAGTCTCAAAAGTTGCCCTGCACAGCTAAGGACCAAGGGGAAACTACATATAAAATTTGAGAAAGATCCCTCTGGTACTTCTTGAGAAATACTGATAACAAGAATTGTTTAAGGACGGACGACGGACGCAGGGTGATTTGAATAGCTTACCATCAGATGATGGTGGGCTAAAAATATGTACAATTTATAAGTATGCACGAGCTGTGTTGAAGCATTTAATATGTAAGTCGTAATTCCTGTGGAGCCATGCACGGCAGAACACAGCTGTGGAAACCTTTAATATGTAAGTCGTTATTCCTGTGGAGCCATGCGCGGCAGAACACAGCTGTGGAAACATTTAATATGTATGTCGTAATTCCTGTGGAGCCATGCACGGCAGAACACAGCTATGGAAACCATTCTTCACATGCAAATGGCGCAGGAGCCTGTCTTTTGTCTAATTGTCCAGTACCCATCCACATTACAGTTGGGAAAGTACACAGTACTGCATGCTTGTCTGACTGGACAAGCCCAAAAATCCCTCAGCTGAATTTAAAAGTAGTGCAGAGCTTTGTTATGATGAAATATGTGTGTCAAATAAAAATGGTTCAATTTTTCATAATGTGGTGTGATAAACAACATACATGTCCAAGGGATTGGCCTCGTGCCTGAATTGTGACTTTGTACAAGGGTCTGGAATTCTGGGTGAACAAAGTGACTAGAGTGTGGCCCGCCTCATGGTACGCTGTCATACGATTGGTGTTCTCATCTGGTATCTTGTGTTTCATAGCTGGACCTGAGGATGAGAATTGACCTTAGAACACAATTACAGGACAAGTATATAAGACGAACAAATTGACTAAAAATAAAACACATTTTTTTTTTTGCTGATGTTGACATATTAGGTATAGCCAATTTAAGTTGGTGCATGTAGACCAAGAACCAGCTGATCAACTAACCCATTTGTATTTTTTCCCTTGAATATTCCAGATCTTGTTGGCAGATGATGGCACTGTTGCGAAGAGCAGCGTGGATAGCCGCCTGGTTGATCATGTTTTCTACGTCAGCTCCTGCAGTAGAAACAAGGTCCAGTAAGACATGCTCACTTCATGCAGCCACAGTACAGCAGTTTCCCTTAATATCTGAAGGAACTCTTCCAACTTTCGACTATTTTAGTGAAAGATATATATATGGCTATATCTATTATCTAACATCTTAGTTTTCATTTCAGCTGAGCGAAACATTATATGAAATAAACAACATGAACACAGAAAGTCTTATGGTTTTGAATAAATTTGCTACTTCTCTGCTCCGTTTATAGGCCTCAGAGTTTCATTCAAAAAGTCATTTTAGTTTTAAACATGTTTGACTCCTGTTATCATGAAAGTATGCACTGATAGCCCTTTACCCAAGCAAGCCATAAGACCTCTGTATAATTACCAGGTAAGCAAATATTAAAGATACACATTTTAAATTTTGACATTGAAAGTAGGTAAAGATAATTTATGAGAACAAACTTTATATCCCACCACTGATCAAATTATGTGACAAACAAAGGCTTTAGGCCTTTTAGTTTTGCTGAAAAAGGTGTTTGAAGTTTTGAACACATTTGAACTGTGACATTGAAAGTGAGTCGAAGAAAATTTGTTTGAACAAATCTGATATCTCCACTAAAGCAAGATCAGATGCTTTAAATTATAAGTTAATTTGTTTATATGTGTAATAAGTTTTCCAAATTTTCCAAATTAAAAAAAAAAAAGTATCATCATTCAAATTCAGAATTGAAAAACAGAGTTGATGAGCAACAAGGCAATCCATAGTCCCCACTGGTAATGATTTCTATATTCAACAAACAGAACACTTATGTCAGGAAGCATAGGTCACAGTGACCTACTTCTTGCACTCCGTTTCCCATGATGTCCTTGTACACCAAATCTGATTGTCTCGGGTGAAATAATACAGAAGCTATGCCCAGGACAAACTTTTTCAAAAGTTAAGGTTAAAGGTCAACTCATAGGTCACAATGACGTAACTCTTTCACACTGCACTCTGTCATCCCAAGATGTCCTTGTACACAAAATCTGGGTACTCCAGGTGAAAAAGTATAGAAGATATGCCCCAGACACACTTTTTCAAAAGTTAAAGTAAAGGTCACAGTGACCTAAATCTTTCACTCTGCAATCCCAAGATGTCCTTGTACACCAGATCTGGGTACTCCAGGTGAAATAGTATAGAAGATATGCCTCAGACAAATATTTTCAAAAGTTAAGGTAAAGGTCACAGTGACCTAATTTTTGCACTCTGCTTTCCCATGATGTCCTTGTACACCAAATCTGTTTACTTTAGGTGAACTAGTATAGAAGATATGCCCCGGACAAACATTTTCAAAAGTAAAGGTCATAGGTCACAGTGACCTAATTCTTGCACTCTGCCATCTCAAGATGTTCTTGTACACCAAATCTGGTTACTCTAGGTATAATAGTTCAGAAGATGTGCCCCGGACAATTTTCTTGGACGGACTGACGGAGTGCAAACCTATAGAAATTCGTCAAAAAAAGTAGGAAGAGATCTCCGGACAAAAAAATAAAATACTGAAATGAACAAACGGCAATAACTTTTGGAAAAATTGTTGAATCAAAATTCTTTTAAGGTAGACACAACTTCATATCATGATTATAATGTATACAAAGTTTCAAAGAGATCGGTCAAAAAATGTAGGAGGAGATTGCCGGACAAACCAAAGTTTATGCCGGACGCACAGACAGACATCCCCATACCATAATACTTCCGTCAAATTTGACGGGCGTATAAAAACGAATTTTAATTTGTTTATAAGTGGTATGACCTCAGATGTGTAATGACACAAGAGGCCCATGGGCCTTAACGGTCACCTGAGTCTATAGTATNCAAAATGTAAAGATTTCCTATAGAATTACTTATAATATAATTATACGACATACCTGTGAAGCCCACAGTGTTACTAGCCAAGTCTTCTACAATCACATCTGTTCAACATAATGAAGACAATTAGTTACAATGAATATGTCTATCCCTCTGACACAAGTGTTAGTCTGATTTCTACTTCTTACCTACTATTTGTTTAATAGTCCTGTTTTAAATACATTAAAAGTTATTAGTTTGATTCAAACATGTAATAAGGGTTTGGGCTGTTCCAGAATTAACTTTATGGCAGGGCAAAATCCATAGGGTTCTTTGCTTCCCCAAAGGCAACCTACATAATATTATGAAGTTTTACTAAGTCTTCAGTTATCATCCGCTTAATGTTAATTTAATATTTAATAAAGCAAACATATATACCAAAACCAGATAAATATTACGAGCTGAAATTTAGTCTTTCCTCCAGAAGAATCTAAGCTATATCATTCCAAAAGCATTTTTAAACTTCCAAGTTTCATAAATGTATCTATTTCGAAGAGCTCAGATTAAGATTGTGATGCTCCCGATGTGTTAGCATGATATGCTTTACTCGACACCATGCTTGTTGATCCGATGTCTCGAGGGTAAGGAAACCTAAAGCATCTTAATTACAACTTTGTGTGAAACCAGTATGATGGCTACAGTATTAGTTTAAAGGACAACAGTGATGTTGCTCTAGCATTACCGTTGTGAATGGTGATATTTGGCTTCTTTAGGAAGTAACTAAATAATTCCACCCTTTCTCTGTACGGAGGTACTCGAACATTAATCTCCACATCAAAGCGGCCAGCGCGTACAATGGCACTAAAACAATAAAAACATGAGGTTTTTTTTATAAATAACATCCTGCTTACTTCATTCAACCGCTGGCATACTGAGTAATATGTATAGGGAACAGTTACCATAAAGCTATTTCATGTAATGGTACCTTAGAAAGTGTTGGGTGGCACTTACGCTCAAATGCCAAGTTTAACATATTTCAGAGTGCAAACTTTTTTTTGTAAACTGCCCACTTTTACAAACTAAAGGCCTTATCTTTTATATTAGCATTAGGCCAAAATACCCCCATTAACAACACGGCAAGAGTAATCACTGTATTCAGTGTTCTCCCCAGAATGTTTTGAAAGAAGCATGGTATTTCAATATTTCTGTTAAAGCAGCACTCTATGTAAAATCAAAGCAGCATGGAAACTTTAGATTTACTATGAATATATAGCAGAGAAGATTTAGGATAGCAGCATGGCAATAAATTATAGGAGCATGGTGCCATGCTGCAAAAACAGCCTGGGGAGAACACTGGTATTCCCACACCTTACCTGTTATTTTCCTAATTCCTGGTCTGGCTTACCTGTCCAAAACTTGACTCTTGTTTGTAGCTCCAATGACAATTACTCCACAATTGGGTTCAAATCTGAAATAACAAAAAAAAACAAGTATTGAATGTAATAAATAACAGATCCAAAACAGATCAAATGACTCATATAAAGAGTGTCCCAAGACTAACAAGAGGCCCATGGGCCTTAGCGGTCACCTGAGTTACGTAAAAACTGATGTTTTCAATGTTGCTAAATGAACAAGAGGCCCATGGGCCGTAATGGTCACCTGATATATTTATACAGAGAGTTGATTTTGTTTTTAACACAAACAGAAAAATTATTCAGTGACAAAAAACAATAAAACCACCTTATTCAATATCTAGCATACAGATTTAAGACTAAAAAGTATTTGAAACTAGCACCTCTGATTCTAAACAAGGAAAATGAAGAAATTTTAGCACACTAACTCCTTTGGTCCCCACCCTACAGCCCTTGGGGGTAGGGCTGGCTCAAAATTTTCAAAGTATCAAACTGTCAACTCAGGGTTATAATTCCAATCAAGTTATTAACATGTAATATTCAAAGTATCATTTGCCATTATAAACCATAATAAATTTTGCCCCCCCCCCCCCCCTCCTTCCCCAGGGGGTAAACGTGAGACCTTAGGGTCATAAACCTCAAGACCCTTCCATTTATGAAGAGTGTTTGATTCTACCATATCTGGGTCTTTGAGAAGAATTTGTTTGAAATTTCAGTCAATTCGACCCTTTTTGGCCCCTCCCATTAGCCCGGGGGGGTCAGTCAGGGCTCATATGTGCATACCATCAAACTGCTACCGAATACTGATAATGATAACCCAAATTGAATTATTTCCAATGGAAATTAAACAAATGTTAGTCCAAAATGTGATTTCCCTATAGAAACTATAGTAAAGTTTACCCCTCCCCAGGGGTAAACATGAGACACCAGGGTCATGAAATTCACTATTTTGGTGTAGCACCTTAAGACCCTTCCATCTATGAAGAGTTTTTGATTCTAACATATCTCGATCTTGAGAAGATGATTTTTGAAATTTTAGTCAATTTGTCCCTTTTAGCACCCATCAGGCACCTGGGGGCTGGGGACCATATAATTCACAATTTTGGTTGACCTTTGGCCATAAAAGGTTTCTGCAAAATTTCATTGAAATTAGTTCAGTGGTTTTGGAGAAGAAGTCGAAAATGTAAATTGTTTAAGGAGGGCCGCCGCCGGACAAAAGGCGATCGCAATAGTTCACTTAAGACTTTGTCTCAGGTGACCTAATAAACAGACCTAGGTACTGTTGGGAAATAGTATTTAGTAATAAGCAGGTATAAACAAGATAATCAGTAAAACTGATGTATTATGCTCCCTGGAAAGGTAAACGGGACTTGAATAAAGGTTATATGTTACATTTAACCTTTGACCTTCAAACTTAATGAGAATCTGACATTTGGACACATGGACCCCAAAATGGTATGCAACACAACACCTTGCTATTCAACATATTTCTATCAGTTTCTGTCGAGCTTTCTTCAGCAAGTCAGAAGTTATGGCTAAGAAAATGAATTTGACCTTTGACCTCAATGTGGCCTTGACCTTTGGTGTATAGACCAAAAAGTGGTTTGCGACACTGCCTTTAAATCCTACATATTTCACCAATTTACATCGAGTTATATTCAGCACACAATTACTTATCACCAAGAAAATAAATTTGACACTAGTAATCTCTTCAGATAAAATCTGTAAAATCTGTAAATGGATAGATGGAGGGACAGACTGAATGAAGTTCCCTTCCCCTATTCCTCTCAATCGAAATCAGAGGAAAACTTATACCTAGTATGAACAAATCAATGGTAAAACACAGTAACCAGTAACTATGTCATTGGTCTCTTACCCATCCATCTCCGCAAGCAGCTGATTAATGGTCTGGTTAGCGTAGGGGTGCATTCCCGAATTCGACCTAGTGCTAGCCACACTATCAAGCTCATCAATGAAGATCACACAGGGGGAAACACTCTTAGCCACTTCTGTAAATGAATTTGAAAATCATGTCTTTGGTACTTTTTAATGCAATATTATATTAGTTTTAAGGTTTTTAGAAAAAACTAAATTACAAATCAAAACATAACATACATCTATTACACCCAAACGTTACATTCAGCACAACAAGTCATTTCAAGTAACAGCTGAAACAGTACAGTAAGAAATTTGATATTACACAACTTTTTTGTTTTTGTCACATTGTCGCCCTTTAGGATTAATATACAAGAGATCCCAAAGGGTTCTTGGCGCCCACCATTGTACCATCTTCATTAGTTCTTTGTCAGTTCAATCTTTTCTCTTCTTTCCTCTAATCTGTTTGATCGAGTCATGTTAACAGTAAATGCACCTTGAGGTAACTTTTGATCTAAACTTAATACTGATGTGTATGAAAACCAACCTTCAAAGTGAGTTTGTCATTTCACATATTTACTAGTACAGTACTTAATGTGAAAGAAATAGAATCGATCATTGCAATATGAGAAAGATCTGTTAAGTTCTTCTTTTAATCCATTTTGTTTTTATGATCAGTCTCACAATATAACATGCACAAAGAGGGATCAAAGGGGAACCTAGATTTAAAATTTGAAAAAGATCCCTCTGGTACTTCCCGAGAAATAGCGATAACAAACTTTCACTATCAAAATCCAAGATGGCTGCCTATCGGCCATGTTGTTTATCTGATCAGTCTCAAAAGTTGCCCTGCATAGCTTAGAACCAAGGGGAACCTACATATCAAATTTGAGAAAGATCCCTCTGGTACTTCTTGAGAAATACCGATAACAAGAATTGTTTAAAGACAGACGACGGACGACGAACCACCACAGACACAGATGATGGTGGGCTAAAAATATCTTTTTATACATTATGACAAATACTGCTGTATATCAGTGTAATTTCATTTAACAGATAGATACATACTAAAAAGTGTGCGGATTTTCTTTGCTCCTGTTCCTACGAATACTTCATCAAATTCTGAACCTGCCACTTGGAAAAATGGAACATTAGCTTCTCCTGCAAAAGAAAAAGTGTTCAATAACTTGCTTCCTATGATAAACACCTTAATATGCTGTGCAGTACCTGCACCGGAGAATAGCCATGGAAACTTAACTGAAATTTAGTATTTTGAAAAAAAAGATTTATAGAAAGACCATTCCTGCAGATAGCCTGCGGGTAATATGTTAAAACAACAGATTAAATAAGGGGATTGGTATATATGTACTGGTTTATTTATCTCAATATAGTCAAACTATACAGGAATGGAAGGAATGGCAAAACTGCACGTATACTTTTATCTTTTTATTTGAATAATTTTTAAATGCAATATTTGATTACCAATAAAGAGCAAAATTATGTACATACCACATATCCTATTGACACAACTTCACTACTCATCCACATTATCAATTTTTCATAATAAATTGAGTACTAATAATATATCCTGCAACAGCAGTGAAATGCATATGGTATTAAGCAGAAAAAATCATTGAATTTACTTTTTAAAATGATTTAAATCAGGGAGGCATATTTTTCTGTTATACAACATTAAAATCACTTTGTTAATCAATGCTCCATACCAAAATCAGTTAATATCCCAGACCCTTCATCCATACAGAAGGAAAAGGATATTTACTTCCATTTCCCCTACTGGGCCCTGAGTGCCCCTCTGCTAAAAGGGGAAGCCAGCCACCTTTATGGTTTATACATGTACAACATTCAGTCCCTTTGACCCACCAAATGCTTCAGACAAAATTAAGTCCAAATCCACGATATATATATACATCCTTGACTAGGTAAAGATTGAGGGACAAAGGACGGACGACAGACACTGCACCTGAGCAAAAGCTCACCAGTTCTTTGGACCAGGTGAGCTAAACACACAAAACATACCAGCAACAGCTCTGGCCAAAAGGGTCTTGCCAACTCCAGGTGGTCCAGACAGTAGTACACCTGTCAAAACAACATATAACAGGATAAATATACAGGCATAAATATATCTCCAATACATCTAAAACAAACACTTTTTGTCATTTAACAGGATATAGACAATATAATACTCGAAATATATCTAAACAACCTTTTTTTTTTTAACATATTAATACAATTGCACAGAGCAGATATAGATTTTTGTGTTCATATGTAAATTAAGATCAGACTTGACAATTACCCACAGGGGAGGACCCTGTGGGTAATTGTCAAGTCTGATCTTAATTTACATATGAACACAAAAATCTTATCATATTAAGAATCTGATGTTCATATACTGGCATACCATGACATGAAAATAACACAAAACAAGGCATCACAAGTGATACAAATCCCCTCGCATTCACACATTGTGACTTATGTAAGAGGAAATGAAGTGGCTAGAGCGATAACAAAGTAAAAATAGTAACAGTGACCTTGACCTTAAACGTAGAAACCCGAAATGAGAACTTGTTGAAGGCATTGCCATACCAAACACTTGTATGAAGTTTCATGAAATTCCATTGAGGAATGAAGTCAGCAGAGCGATGACAAAGTTTTTCTAAAAGAAGTAAAAAGTTACCTTGACCTTTAACGCAGTAACCCGAAATGCAAACTTGTTAAAGGTATTGTCATAATAAACACTGGTAGGAAGTTTCATGAAATTCAGTTGAGGAATGAAGTCAGCAGAGCGATGACAAAGTTTTTGTAAAAATAGCAAGAGTGACCTTGACCTTGAACATAGAAATCCAAAACGCAGACTTGTTCAAGGCATTGCCATATCAAAGACTTGTATGAAGTTTCATGAAATTCTGTTGAGGCATGAAGTCAGCAGAGCGATGACAAAGTTTTTGTAAAAATAGCAAGAGTGACCTTAACCTTGAACATAGAAATCCAAAACGCGGACTTGTTCAAGGCATTGCCATATCAAAGACTTGTATGAAGTTTCATGAAATTCTGTTGAGGCATGAAGTCGGTAGAGCGATGACAAAGAGTGTAACATACGTAGGTTCATACATACGTACGGGCGGAATCCTATATCCCCCTCAAACTTTCATTGCAAGGGGATAATTATGGTATGTCTTGTCCACAAGCTTTTATATCAGACAGATAACACATGCATGGTGGCACTGACAAAGCGATCACCATATAACACCCTACAGCTTCCCAATAGAATGAGCAAGATATACAAGTAAATATGGTTCTGAGTGTAAAACAGAATTTCTCCCACCACCACTTTAGGTTTCTAACTCCCCACTCATTGGATAAGCCTGCCAGGAGTTGATGATGTTACTATACCTAGTGGGTAACAACCTGGATGTGATTTCAATGGTCAGTCTTCTACTTAAGATGTCAAGTAACACTGCCTTACACAATTATCTCCCTTTGGGACATCATAGTTTATTTCAATTGTTTCCCTGTTCAGAAACAGAAATAATGTATCCCCGAGAGAAACATATGGTTTTATAGATATAATATCTTAAAGCTATTGGAGAAAAAAGGTCCAAACTCAGGATGTTTATTATCATGTTTATCTAAATCTCCTTATTTAATTTTAGAACTGTAACAAGAGATCCAAGAGGGATCTTGGCGCCAACCTTTGTACCATCTTCATTAGTTCTTTGTCAGTTCGATCTTTTCTCTTCTTTCCTCTAATCTGTTTGATCGAGTCATGTTAACAGTAAATGCACCTTGAGGTAACTTTTGATCTAAACTTAATACTGATGTGTATGAAAGCCAACCTTCAAAGTGAGTTTGTCATTTCACATATTTACCAGTACAGTACATAATGTGAAAGAAATAGAATCGATCATTGCAATATGAGAAAGATCTGTTTAGTTCTTCTTTTAATCCATTTTGTTTTTTATGATCAGTCTCACAATATAACATGCACAATGAGGGATCAAAGGGGAACCTAGATTTAAAATTTGAAAAAGATCCCTCTGGTACTTCCCGAGAAATAGCGATATCAAACTTTCACTATCAAAATCCAAGATGGCTGCCTGTCGGCCATGTTGTTTATCCGATTAGTCTCTTAAACTGCCCTGCACAGCTAAGGACCAAGGGGAACCTACATATAAAATTTGAGAAAAATCCCTCTGGTACTTCCAGAGAAATAGCGATAACAAACTTTCACTATCAAAATCAAAGATTGCAAATCGTAAAATAACAAATTATTCTAACAACAAAGCTATTGAACCAGTGATTGGGTAGTGAATATTAAAAGTTTTCATTTTTTATAAGAGATTGGAGTGAAACAAAAACCCTCCGTAGCACATTTAAATCTGGAACAGTTTGATATGGAATTTAGCTGAATTTTGACGATGCTGTATTACTGACCTTTTGGTAACTTTGCACCAACTGAAGTGAAACGAAGTGGCTGTTTCAGAAAGTTGACAATATCAATCAGTTCCTGCTTTGCTTCATAACACTACAATAAATACATAAAATATATAACATATTTATTCACATTTTTTGTCTTTTAGTTTTTTTCCAAAGTCATAGTAACATAGTACGATCCAATTAGGATATCTCTAAGTCACTTCACCCTTATTTTTACATACGGTACATCTTACCACAGATTTTATCTGACTTTTAGACAAATCACAAATTTCAACTATTAATCTTATTTTGCCGTCATACTAAATTAAATTGCTTTATCAAAATCAAGCAAATACCTATGGAAAATTGAGCTTTAGACTTTAATATTCAATGTTCAATTCTTCAAAATGGTATGCAAAGTAAGAAAATAACATCATTACTACAAAATGTAATACAGAACTTTGCATTGCAAAATATACAAATGCCCTCTCCTGCACAACAATCTGTCAGAGCATATACACTTAACCTCTTGTCAGTTTTATAAAATGAATATTGTCAAACTTGTTTAAACAAGAGACCAAGAAGGCCTGTATTGATCACCTCAATTTGTATGCCTAGCATTGAACGGTATATATACATTTATGGGGTGGGGATCTCAACTGTTTCAAAGTTAATATGTCCCTAGGGGTGGGGCCAAACCCCAGTGTTGATTCTAATATCGTGATTGTGTTTATTATTTTATGCCCAGCAATGGTATAAGCTCCCCTGGGGGTAATCCTCTCTATTTGTAAAATTTGAATTCCTACAATCTGAGAAAAATTTCTATCAAATATGGTTGATGTATCACCCAGAGTTCCCTTTGGCATTTGAGCTTCAAAACACTGTAATTTGACCCCTTTTGGCCCTATCCTCCGTCCCTTGGGAGTCAGCCCAATCTTGAGTAGAGATTGTGATCTCCACATTAGGCTGAACCTACGATTGTCTCAGGTTTTGCAAAAAATACAGGTGACTCCCTATGCATGTCCTTTTGGGTGTATATATTCTGATACCCATCATCTAAGTGTTATTTATGAAATGTTGGTGAAAACTCCCCTATAATTTTCAGAGGACAAGACCTTTGAAGGTTTTGCACTCTGTAGCCCCAACCCTCAACCCCGTTGGGAGTCGGCCCATCTTGAGTACAGATTATGATCCTCACCTCAGACTAACAATTACAACTAAGTTTTATCAAAATCTTACTAACAGTTTTTGAGAAGAAATCGAAAATGTGACTGGGCACATAGGAGGATGTAAGACGACATAGAAAGGGCAATAGGTCATCTGAGAAACTCAAACAACCTAAAAAATAATGTGTTTGAACTTTCCAATGATAGAGGTTGACCATACCTTGCATATTGTCACCAATATCTTGGTATGCATCACTCAAGCAATTTCAATATATGATACTTGATAATCATATCTGTATATTTCCAAAACAAATGTCTTGAAAGTTTAGAAAGTATCTATTGAGTTATTTTTTTTATACAAGAGGCCCATGGGCCTTAACGGTCACCTGACATCCGATTCAAATTAGGACTGTCATCCAGGGGCCAATTCATACTTTTTCGTCGTTCCGAGTGACCTTGCTGCATCGTCCAATAATTTTTCCTTGTGAACACAATAACTTCAGTAAATATGAACTGATTTTGATGAAACTTTGTATGCAGCTTTGTATCAATGAGATCTTGGATGAGTTTGAATACCGGACCAATTTGACCATATCTTACATAGTTATTCCCCTTGGTAATTCTATCATTGTTGGACCCTGTGAACACGATAACTGAAATAAATGGGTGTGACCCCAATTTTGACCCAATGGGTATGTTTTGAACAAACTTGGTAACTGTATGTCTTTTGTTCTTGGTTAAAAGAAACAAGTAAAAGCTTAAATCAATGATTTATTAAATAAGGCACAAAATTTTAATCGCACCTTTTAATAATTTTAATACCCCCCCCCGTCCTGCTCGATTAAATTTACTGTGTTCTTTGATAATCACAATTATGCAAAGCAACACGACACTAAATTCCCTTTGGTCAGTTGATTCTTTGTAATTCATCAGTGAAAAGATCAATAAATGTTATTGATACCACCTAGTGCATAAAGAATAGATCTTTCGATCCATGAGTGACATGTGTGTGAAATTGACGATTTGTTTCTAAAATATCAGTTTGAAGTGTGCTCCGGGCGCCGGGCGCATATTTCCTGCATATTAAAGAGGGCCGGAGTTCTGACGTTAATCGACGACAGACCGATATGAAAAAAGTCGATAAAACGTCAGAATAATTCGGACTATGTATGCATCAAAAGTTAGTGGGTGACTTGTTTTTTACCACTTTCATCACTGTAGACCATAATGGACTCGTCCAGACCAATGCATGGGAGAGTCTACTAAAGTTGAATAGGGGTGAAAGGATAACCCCAATAAACATCAAATATCTGACTTCTTACATACCCCTTGTACATCATCAAAAGTTGTATTTGTCTTGACTGGCTTTGGACCAAAATCACCCATCAGAAATCCATTGCTAGTAGCTAAGTAAATACCTGACAAAAATGAAAAATAGTATATATATTAAAAGAAACAAGTTACTGGGGAAATTGTATTCAGTAAGCAGTTGTTTGTATGATGGAAAGATATCATATGAATTATTTGGAATTAATATTTATTAAAGGCAAAATCTTTTTAACTACTGATAGAAGAATAAATATATTCATTTAATAGAGTCAGATGATGTTATTATCAAACTTACAACAGCTTTCTCAATGATTTTTTTGTCATATTAGAAACACATAAACTCATGATTCTTTTTTCAATTGATGCATTATACTTCAGTCTACATAATAATCCTTAATCAACTCATGCAGTTAGTTTGATTATATGAATGAGTTCCAATGAGTCAGAAAATATTTTTTAATTCACAAGATTATTTAGTCTTCTGTGCTTGTATAGAATAAACACACATTTGTCCAGCATAAGCTGGAGTAAATTACTTACGCAGGAGCAGATATAGTGAAACGAATACAGCAACAATACGTAAATACGGAGAAACTTTTTTCGAAGCATTCTTCCAATTGTCTTCAGTGTCCATCTGCAACATAATTTCCAAACATGACCATACCTGTAGTAGGCTACTAGCTTATATCATTGTTGGGAACTAATTTAATTAACCATTACAAAACTATAAAACCAAGAATTCCTACTTTACAGACTTACGTTATTGCAGACAAAAACAGATAAATTAAATTTCATTTGCATACAAAAAGTTTTAAGTCTGTTTCCATCTTTATACTCATTCTTGAAATATTTAAAATACTGTAGCGCTAGTCAATACAAGAGGCCCAGGGGCCTTAATAGCTCACCTGGTATTTTATTTTTCAATTTAAAACCTGCTGAGTACCATACAGGTTTATCAAAGGCGTACAAGAAACAAAGTTGCAAGAAGAACTAGATATAAATCTGTTTCCATGTTATGTCCCAAGGGCCTCGCATGCTCCTTCCATCTTCCATTTATAAATATCCATTTCCCTTGCCAAAAGATTCTCTAGAACACGTTTGGTTAAATTCCCTTCAACGGTACAGAAGGAGAATGATCTTTGATGTTTTCCTCTATTTCCCCTAATGGGCCCCACCCATCTGCCCCTAGAAGGGGGCCCACACACCTCAGTTTATACAAAATTGATTCTTTTGTCCCTAATCATGCTTCAGACTGCATTTGGTTTAAATCCTTTCACTTGTATAGTAGGAGAAAAAAAAACCTCTATTTCCCCTATTGGGCCCCGCCCCTCCACCCCCAGAGGGACCACACCCTCCGTTTATACAAACTTGAGTCTCCTTTGTCCAAAGATGCTCTAGCACAAATTTGGTCAAAATCTTTCTATTGGTTGAGAAGAAGAAGATTTTTAAAGATTTACCTATTTTCCCCCTATTTGGCCCCGCCCCTCTGCCCCCAGGGGGATCATACCTTCCATTTATACAAAAATGAGAACCCTTTGGCCAATGATGCTCCAGACCAAATTTGGGCCAGGTGAGCTCATAAAATATAAGAATCAATTATACAGATGAAAAAAACCCTCATAAGACATTAAACAAATATTGTGCATTTTGTTTTGTATAAAGCGTAAATTTTCTTGGATTCATACTAACTTACTATGTAACATTAAACAGCATAAAGAGGCTGTGTAAGAATTAAGTATCAGGGATCTGTTTGATTATGAATATGTTTGGTTTAATGCAAGGAGCGCTTGTTTGTTTGATTGCTAGGCTTTTAAAGTCCTCATTACTGAAATGCCAATGTTACATTAAGACCTTTCCACAAAATGATTTGGCAAATCAGTGGCAACATCAAAATCCTATCTTAAAGAAGTTGCCATTAAGATTATCTGAATTGAACTAACATTCTAAATCACTGAAAATACTGAGCTTTTGATCGAAGCCTCAAAGTCATCTTTCAAGTGAGCTCAAAGACAATAACAAGATATTCGGATTGATATGTCTCGCCTGTGCCCGGCTTTGACCATCAATGCACATGTCAAGTTTGGTCGGTGTAGCACTTCTAGTTTCAGAGAAATTACCTGGTAACTTAAATGCAAAAACTTAATGTTGACAACGCCTCCCGAAAAGCAACACCCAAGTCTCTCTACCGCTACTTTGTGGCAGCAAGACAAAACGGGCAGGTGGGTGGGGATATCCTCGGAATACCCTTAGTCTGTTAAAACACTGATCTTATCTATTTTGTGTAAAGCCCTTTCATGTGTTCATTTTATTGCTTTTCAAAAATGCATTGTAGGTATAATTTATTAAAGAACTAGTCATGTGCTCTTTTACACATGTGATCTCACTGAAGGTATGATTGAACACACTAGCATAACACCCAACCCAGTTTCATTACGCCGACAACAGATTATTACAAAATCAAAGAATGGATGGAACTGAAAGTATTGTCATCCAGATTTTTATTTTCTTCAATTATGTCAATGATAAAATAATAACACAAACAATATGTTGGCACCAATCCATACCTTTGACTCTTTCTCCTTATTAGCAGTCTCTTGTCTCTTCTTGTTTGTTTCAAATCCTCTTCTCTGTTCAAGCCCTATTATCAATAACAGTGTATTTAATTGATGAATATTTAGAGAAAATGCCCTGTCTTTGTGAAAGAGCAGATAAAACCAACTTACTAAAGGTACCACTACATTTTGTTAACATACTCTTAATACTTGTGTGTCGTAAATACAATATGATCACTGGATTTTCTCCCACCCTTCACAGGTGTCTCCCTTTAGCCGCGAGAGATTAATAGAATCTTCCGCTGCCCTGAGGGTGTGACAGAGAAATCGCCAACCCGCGGGGTGATGTTTTTTGGTCAAGGTAGGGGATGAGTGTTTTTCTCCCATCCTATTATTTCAGTCACAGCTCCACCAACAGTAGTCTGCCATGTTTGTAAACAAAAACACACGTGGGGAATGCATATCGTCATTCACTTTTGATGACGTCACAATTACCGATGACGCATTTTAATGACGTCACAATCGAACACGTGCTAAACAGTACGAGGCTATCTTGACCTAGACAAGCTGATCTTTCCCGGCCTAAACGGGAGACACACCTGTGAAGGGTGGGAGACACACCTGTAAAGGGTGGGAGACACACCTGTGAAGGGGGGGAGACACACCTGTGAAGGGTGGGGGACACGCCTGTGAAGGGTGGGAGGCACGCCTGTGAATGGTGGGAGACACGCCTGTGAAGGGCGGGAGACACGCCTGTGAAGGGTGGGGGACACGCCTGTGAAGGGTGGGAGACGCGCCTGTGAAGGGTGGGAGACACGCCTGTGAAGGATGGGAGACACGCCTGTGAAGGGTGGGAGCCACGCCTGTGAAGGGGGGGAGACACGCCTGTGAAGGGTGGAAGACACGCCTGTGAAGGGTGGGAGACCCACCTGTGAAGGGTGGGAGATACTCCTGTGAAGGGTGGGAGACACACCTGTAAAGGGTGGGAGACACACCTGTGAAGGGGGGGAGACACGCCTGTGAATGGTGGGAGACACGCCTGTGAAGGTTGGGAGACACGCCTGTGAAGGGTGGGAGCCACGCCTGTGAAGGGGGGGAGACACCCCTGTGAAGGGTGGGAGACACGCCTGTGAATGGTGGGAGACACGCCTGTGAAGGGCGGGAGACACGCCTGTGAAGGGTGGAAGACACGCCTGTGAAGGGTGGGAGACACACCTGTGAAGGGTGGGAGAATAGCTTGTCACTCCTAGGGGGAGATAGCCTCGTGCCGATTAGCACGAATTCAATTGCAATGTCATTAAAATGTGTCACCGGTAATTGTGACGTCATCAAAAGTGGATGACAATATTCATACCCCACATTTGTTTCTGTTTACACTACTGTCAGTTGAGTTGTGACTGAAATAAAAGGATGGGAGAAAAATAATCACCCCCTACCTTGAGGGTGTAACAGAGAAATATTCCACTCTCGGTGTGATGTTTTTTGGTCATCTAACCCGAGGCTCTGCCGAGGGTTAGACAACCAAAAAACATCACCCATCGGGTTGGAGATTTCTCTGTCACACCCTCCGGGTAGGGGAAGATTATATTAATCTTCATTTATCTATGTACATACCGGTATATGGACAAGAAATTTTCATGTCTATACAAACAACTTGAACTTTCATTCCACAAAATATTATGTTATATTGACAAGGATCAATATTTTCAACAGAAGCAGTGCCATGTTGATGATCCTCATTACACTCCTTATAACATGAGGAGCAAACATTGAGGTGAACATCAACGGAACCAGTACCATGTTGATGATCCTCATTACACTCCTTATAACATGAGGAGCAAACATTGAGGTGTACATTAACGGAACCAGTGCCATGTTGATGATCCTCATTACACTTCTTATAACATGAGGAGCAAACATTGAGGTGAACATCAACGGAACCAGTGCCATGTTGATGATCCTCATTACACTCCTTATAACATGAGGAGCAAACATTGAGGTGAAGTTCCTGAAAATGTGTTTGCAGACTCTAATTCAACACTGCAAAATCAGGTAATACCAGTACTTACATTTAGCTTAGACATTTACTATTATTGATCCTGATAGAACTACAACACTTCTTATGCATATACTGCTCCGGTTAGAGCTACAACATTGATTAATACTGCTTCTGTTAGTCTTACAACACCTTATACCATAGTTTCTGTTAAGAGTTCAGGTACTTAGTACTGTTCCTGTTAGAATGACATTTTTAATTACTAATACGGTTCCTATAAAAAGTATTGTTATATTAACTTATACAGCTTCTGTTTCAATACTTACTAAAACTGTTACTTGCAGGGCTGAGTAAATGTTGGAGGTGTATCTGCCCTAGGATCGGTGACCTCAGTACTGACTCTGGGAATCCTAAAGTGACAAACACAGATGTTATAAATAGATTTATTTCTATTTCTTCTTAATAAAACAAAATAATTTTGGATAAATTAAAACACTACATTGCCTTGCAACTTCAACCAATCAGATCAAATACAGAGCCAAACATTGACGTCATCACTTATTGTGTTGTCTTTTTCTTAAAGTCATAAATACAATATAGCCTGAAAAAGTATAGCATGGGGAATAAGTAAAAAAACAAGAGATCCCAGAGGGATCTTGGCGCCCACCTTTGTACCATCTTCATTAGTTCTTCATCAGTTCAATCTTTCTCTTCTTTCCTCTAATCTGTTTGATCGAGTCATGTTAACAGTAAATGCACCTTGAGGTAACTTTTGATCTAAACTTATACTGATGTGTATGAACGCCAACCTTCAAAGTGAGTTTGTCATTTCACATATTTTCTAGTACAGTACTTAATGTGAAAGAAATAGAATCGATCATTGCAATATGAGAAAGATCTGTTTAGTTCTTCTTTTAATCCATTTTGTATTTATGATCAGTCTCACAATATAACATGCACAACGAGGGATCATGGGGAACCTACATATAAAATTTGAGAAAGATCCCACTGGTACTTCTTGAGAAATAGCGATAACAAACTTTCACTATCAAAATCAAAGATGGCTGCCTTTCGGCGATTTGTTTATCCAATCAGTCTTAAAAGTTGCCCTGTACAGCTAAGGACCAAGGGGAACCTACGTATAAAATTTGAGAAAGATCCCTCTGGTACTTCTTGAGAAATAGCGTTAACAAACTTTCACCATCAAAATCCAAGATGGCTGCCTGTCGGCCATGTTGTTTATCCGATCAGTCTCAAAAAATGCCCTGTACAGCTAAGGACCAAGGGGAACCTAGGTATAAAATTTGAGAAAGATCCCTCTGGTACTTCTTGAGAAATAGCGATAACAATCTTTCACCATCAAAATCCAAGATGGCTGCCTGTCGGCCATGTTGTTTATCCGATCAGTCTCAAAAGTTGCCCTGCATAGCTTAGGACCAAGGGGAATTTACATATAAAATTTGAGAAAGATCCCTCTGGTACTTCTTGAGAAATACTGATAACAAGAATTGTTTAAGGATGGACCACGGACCACGGACACGGGGTGATTTGAATAGCCCACCATCAAATGATGGTGGGCTAAAAATATATGAGTATACAATGTATATGCTAATATATTATAGAGCAGATTTGATATTCACTGCTATAATATCAACTCACCAGTTTTATTTTCAAAGAATGTAGGTGTAGACGTATGTGAAGTACGTAACCCCAGAAAGCTTCTCCTCAATGGATTGTTCCTGCAGACACTCAGGAGTTCTGTTTTGTTCACATGTTGTGGAACAATCTTGATACTGTTTGCATTCAAACAATCCTGGAATTTGAATGATAATGTATAATTATAAAATCATACAACAATTATTATTCTTTCAATATAAAACTGGTACTGGTAACTGCATCACTTACAAACATGATCCCAGTCTGTCATTAACGTCTCAAAATATCACTGAACAGTTAATGAAATGTTTTAATAGATAATATTAGAAAATATCCCAATCAATCAACTTATTTCTAACAAAACATTGACACAGCTGCCACTTTTGCTATTCTGATTAGCCTTGCTTTTTTCACCAGTATAGTTTGATAATTGTTAATTACTATAACAGAATTTTTTATCCATCAATAGTGGACATAAGTACAATCCGTCAGTACAACATTTAAGGACAAAAGCATATTTTTATTGAATTTTCCTGAAGTTGGATATGTTACTGAAACAAAAATTTGCATGAATGAAACAGAAAGTCAATTACATACGAAAACATACAGAATTAAGAAAATGCAGTGCAATGCACATGCTCTTAACAATACGTAATAGTATTGGTAGTTGTTCAAAATATGTATAGCTGAAATTAACTTCAGGTAAATTGAACTGGGTAAAAAATAATGCAAGAAATGTTTGCAGAGTGAAAGCACCAAACAATTTTCATTACAAGCACACACCCAAACACTTTATTAGGAGTAATATAATACACAACGACGTTACACAACAACTTTGTTAGGAGTAATATAATACACAGTGACGGTTACACAACAACTTTATTAGGAGTAATATAATACACAGTGACGGAACACAACAACTTTATTCGGAGTAATATAATACACAGTGACAGTACACCCAACAACTTTATTAGGAGTAATATAATACACAGTGACGGTCCACCCAACCACTTTGTTAGGAGGTATATAATACACAGTGATGGTACACCCAACAACTTTATTAGGAGTAATAAAATACACAGTGACGGTACACCCAACAACTTTATTAGGAGTAATAAAATACACAGTGACGGTACACCCAACAACTTTGTTAGGAGTAATATAATACTCAGTGACGGTACACCCAACAACTTTATTAGGAGAAATATAATACACAGTGACGGTACACCCAACCACTTTATTAGGAGTAATATAATACACAGTTATGGTACACCCAACAACTTTATTAGGAGTAATATCATACTCAGTGACGGTACACCCAACAACTTTATTAGGAGAAATATAATACACAGTGACGGTACACCCAACCACTTTATTAGGAGTAATATAATACACAGTGATGGTACACCCAACAACTTAATTAGGAGTAATATAATACTCAGTGACGGTACACCCAACAAGTTTATTAGGAGTAATATAATACACAGTGACGGAACACAACAACTTTATTCGGAGTAATATAATACACAGTGACAGTACACACAACAACTTTATTAGGAGTAATATAATACCCAGTGACGGTACACAACAACTTTATTAGGAGTAATATAATACACAGGGACGGAACACAACAACTTTATTCGGAGTAATATAATACACAGTGACAGTACACCCAACAACTTTATTATGAGTAATATAATACACAGTGACGGTACAACCTACAACTTTATTAGGAGTAATATAATACACAGAGACGGTACACAACCACTTTATTAGGAGTAATATAATACACAGCGACGTTACACAACCACTTTATTAGGAGTAATATAATACACAGCGACGTTACACAACCACTTTATTAGGAGTAATATAATACACAGCGACGTTACACAACCACTTTATTAGGAGTAATATAATACACAGTGACGGTACACAACAACTTTATTAGGAGTAATATTATACACAGTGACAGTACACCCAACCACTTTATTAGGAGTAATATAATACACAGTGATGGTACACCCAACATCTTTATTTGGAGTAATTATTAGGAGTAAAATAATAACTTTATTAGGAGTGATATTATACACAGTGACAGTACCCCCAACCACTTTATTAGGAGTATATAATACACAGTGAGGGTACACCCAACAACTTTATTAGGAGTAATATAATACACAGTGACAGTACCCAACTACTTTATTAGGAGTAAAATAATAACTTTATTAGGAGTAATATAATACACAGTGACGGTACCCAACTACTTTATTAGGAGTAATATAATACACAGTGATGGTACACCCAACAACTGTATTAGGAGTAATATAATACACAGTGACGGTACACCCAACCACTTTATTAGGAGTAATATAATACACAGTGACGGTACAACCAACCACTTTATTAGTAGTAATATAATACACAGCGACGGTACCCAACAACTTTATTAGGAGGTATAATACACAGCGATGGTACACCCAACAACTTTATTAGGAGTAATATAATACACAGTGACGGTACACACAACAACTTGATTAGGAGTAATATAATACACAGCGACGTTACACAACAACTTTATTAGGAGTAATATAATACACAGCGACGTTTCACAACCACTTTATTAGGAGTTATATAATACACAGCGACGTTACACCCAACAACTTAATTAGGAGTAATATAATACAAAGTGACGGTACACCCTACAACTTAATTAGGAGTAATATAATACAAAGTGACGTTACACACAACAACTGTATTAGGAGTAATTATATAATACACAGTGACGGTACACCCAACAACTTAATTAGGAGTAATATAATCCAAAGTGACGGTACACCCAACAACTTTATTAGTGACGGTACACCCAACAACTTAATTAGGAGGAATATAATACAAAGTGACGGTACACCCAACATCTTAATTAGGAGTAATATAATACTCAGTGACGGTACACCCAACAACTTAATTAGGAGGAATATAATACAAAGTGACGGTACACCCAACATCTTAATTAGGAGTAATATAATACACAGGGACGGTACACAACAACTTTATTAGGAGTAATATGATACACAGCGACGTTACACAACCCCTTTATTAGGAGTAATATAATACAAAGTTACGGTACACCCAACAACTTAATTAGGAGAAATATAATACAAAGTGACGTTACACACAACAACTGTATTAGGAGTAATTATATAATACACAGTGACGGTACACCCAAAAACTTTATTAGGAGTAATATAATACTCAGTGACGGTACACCCAACAACTTAATTAGGAGAAATATAATACAAAGTGACGGTACTCCCAACAACTTAATTAGGAGTAATATAATCCAAAGTGACGGTACACCCAACAACTTAATTAGGAGGAATATAATACAAAGTGACGGTACACAACAACTTTATTAGGATTAATTATATAATACACAGGGACGGTACACAACAACTTTATTAGGATTAATTATATAATACACAGGGACGGTACACAACAACTTTATTAGGATTAATTATATAATACACAGGGACGGTACACAACAACTTTATTAGGATTAATTATATAATACACAGGGACGGTACACAACAACTTTATTTGGAGTAATATAATACACAGTGATGGTACACCCAACAACTTTATTAGGAGAAATATAATACACAGCGACGTTACACCCAACAACTTAATTAGGAGGAATATAATACAAAGTGACGGTACACCCTACAACTTAATTAGGAGTAATATAATACTCAGTGACGGTACACCCAACAACTTAATTAGGAGGAATATAATACAAAGTGACGGTACACAACAACTTTATCAGGAGTAATATAATACAAAGTGACGTTAAACACAACAACTTTATTAGGAGTAATTATATAAGACACAGCGACGTTACACAACAACTTTATTAGGGGTTATATAATACACAGCGACGTTACACCCAACAACTTTATTAGGAGTAATATAAGACACAGTGACGTTACTCCCAACAACTTAATTAGGAGTAATATAATCCAAAGTGACGGTACACCCAACAACTTTATTGGGAGTAATATAATACACAGTGACGTTACACCCAACAACTTAATTAGGAGAAATATAATACAAAGTGACGTTACACACAACAACTGTATTAGGAGTAATTATATAATACACAGGGACGGTACACAACAACTTTATTTGGAGTAATATAATACACAGTGACGTTACACCCAACAACTTAATTAGGAGTAATATTATACAAAGTGACGGTACACAACAACTTTATCAGGAGTAATATAATACACAGTGATGGTACACCCAACCACTTTATTAGGAGTAATATAATTATAATACACAGTGACGGTACACCCAACCACTTTATTAGGAGTAATATAATACCCAGTGACGGTACACAACAACTTTATTAGGAGTTATATAATACACAGCGACGTTACACCCAACAACTTTATTAGGAGTAATATAATACAAAGTGACGGTACACAACAACTTTATTAGGAGTAATTATATAATACACAGGGACGGTACACAACAACTTTATTAGGAGTAATATGATACACAGCGACGTTACACAACCACTTTATTAGGAGTAATATAATACACAGCGACGTTACACAACAACTTTGTTAGGAGTAATATAATACACAGCGACGGTTCACGTAACAACTTTATTAGGAGTAATATAATACACAGCGATGGTACACCCAACAACTTTATTAGGAGGTATATAATACACAGCGATGGTACACCCAACAACTTTGTTAGGAGTAATATAATACACAGTGACGGTACACACAACCACCTTATTAGGAGTAATATAATACACAGTGATGGTACACACAACAACTTAATTAGGAGTAATATAATACACAGTGACGGTACACCCAACAACTTTATTAGGAGTAATATAATACACAGTGACGGTACACCCAACCACTTTATTAGGAGTAATATAATACACAGTGATGATACACCCAACAACTTTATTAGGAGTAATATAATACACAGTGATGGGCAATCTGTTTAAATTTGTAATTAGAAGAAGTAAACCGATCGATGATCGATCGCATAATTGGTTTATAATTTTATGGGACTGAATACCCAAATAAAGTGAGAACACTTACTATTACAACAAGAGGCCCAAGAGGGCCTGTATCGCTCACCTGAATATTTAAGCAATCATAGCAAAATATTCTCATTAAATACCAAATACCATATTGCACTAACAATATTTCCCTCACAAACTTTGTTGGCTCCATCTGTTGAAACTACCAGCAAAATATTATTATAAGATTCTATGCTTTTTGATTCTTCTTCAGAAGTTGCTTCAAATATTTTTCCCCGTTATCTTGTAAGTAGGTCAATGTCATTTCCTTTCTCAAATTGGTTAGCTCTATTCCAAAAACCTACCATCCAAATCTTATGAATCCATTCCTTTTAGTTCTCAAGAACAAATCCATTAAAATGTTGTTGACCTCTGTGACCTCTGAAGTAGGTTGAGGTCATTTTCATTCGCAAACTTTGGTGAGCTCTATCCAAGGAAGTCACCAGCCAAATATTATAATTTTATGCCTTTTAATTCTTCAGATGAAGCTGTTTGAACTGTTTGACATATTTGAACGCTGTGACCTTGAAAGTAGGTCAAGGTCATTTTCATTCGCAAACTTTGTTTGGCTCTTTCCCAGGAAGCAACCCGCCAAATATTTAGATTTTATAACTTCCAGTTCTTCAGAAGAAGTCGTTTAAAGTGTTTGACATATCTGCCTGAAGACCATTTTCATTCTCAAACTTTGTCGGGTTCTATCCAAGGAAGCCATCAATCGAAAATAATGATTCTATACCTTTCAGTTCTTCAGAAGAAGTCATTTGAAGCTTTTGACATATATGACCCCTGTGACCTTGAAAGTAGGTCAAACTAGTTTTCATTCTCAAACTTTGTTGGGCTCTATCCCAGGAAGCCATCAGCCACATATAAAGATTCTATACCTTTCAGTTCTTCAGAAGAAGTTGTTGGAAGCATTTGACATATTTGACCCATGTGACCTTGAAAGTAGGTCGAACTAATTTTCATTTTCAAACTTTTTTGGGCTCTATCCCAGGAAGCCACCAGACAAATATAAAGATTCTATACCTTTCAGTTCTTCAGGAGAAGTCGTTTGAAGTGTTTGACACATTTGACCCCTGTGACCTTGAAAGTAGGTCAAGGTCATTTTCATTCTCAAACTTTGTTGGGCTCTATCCCAGGAAGCCATCAGCCAAATATGAAGATTCTATACCTTTTAGTTCTTCAGAAGAAGTCGTTTGAAGTTTTTGACATATTTGACCCCTGTGACCTTGAAAACAGGTCAAGGTCATTTTCGTTCTCAAACTTTGTAGGGCTCCTACCAACGAAGCTTTCAGCCAAATATCATGACTCTAGGCCTGTCTGTTCTTCAGAAGAAGTTGTTTAAAGGAAAAGTTGACGGACGAGGACGGACGGATGGACGGACGGACGACGCACCATGACATAAGCTCACCTGCCCTTCGGGCAGGTGAGCTTATAATAGACAGAGTTGTTCACTTTACATTAGGGTTTGTTCTTTCATAATGAATGGCTTTTAAGCAACTTTTATACATCTTTATCATTCATATATTATTAATCATAAGAATATATGACTTTCAAAGCCTCTTTACTAGAAGACATTTAGATACTTTGATCTCAATGATGAACCGATGATATCAATTATGGAACTTGTAATTGATAATAAGAATCAGAAAAGGCAAACTGATCGATCATCAGTCCATCACTAATAATTAAAAAAAAAGATCTTGCCACCTAGGAGCAAATCAAGTGTTTTATCACAATATAAACATTATTGAAACAACCCAAAATGTTAATGTATTTTCAATGAACAAAATTATGATATTTTTGTTGAATCAGTTTAATCCTTACATTACAAATGGCAATTAGCTCCTCAACGGTTTGTGCTGTATGTGTCTTGTAGCGGGCATGTCTGTCCTTCCTGTTAGGTTGTGGAACATGGGAAGAAGTACTGAGAGTCTTGGAGAAATTGCTGCTTCTCAAATGGTTCAGTAATGCTGGAATCTGGGCAAGTGCTGTGGCAACCTATAAAAGAAATAAATAGCAGAGCTTTGAGTAAACCCATTTAGTACACTGTACAAGTAAGCATAAGCTAATACTAGAAGGAAAGGCAGATTAGCGGTATACTGGATTGCCATAGGTTGCCAGTCAGCTGAAAAATAAACTCTGCTACCAGGTTAGAGTATCTGTTACATGGCTCCTCCTGAACATCTGAATGTGCCGCGGTCAGGGTCACGTTAAAGTGACCTTTAGATGAACCAATCAGAGGTGCGCTGGCAAAAGTTTGCCAGCGAATCGGAATATCATGGTTGATAGATAAATAGCGAGGGGTATCGAACAGATAAGTTTTCCAAAACAAATATGGAGGCGGGAACTGAGGAAAACATACCCATTGGGTAATAATTGCGTAGGCAACACCGCCATACAGTCTTTCTTCTCTAATAAAGCTTTGAATATCTTTTTCTGTTTGGGTTTCAGACGATCAATCTCAAATAACTTCAGAACTTTCGCATCATTCTAATCAATGTCCGCCATATTTGTTACAACTCTGAGCGCCCTTTTGAAAGAGGGTCTCTGATTGGTCATCATTTAATGAGTATTTATAAATATAAAGGTCACCTGAACATGACCCTGACCGCGGCACACTCAGATGTTCAGGCGTAGTACGAAGTTAACGAAGCCATGTAACATATGATTTTAATCAGATTGTGATTTACATAAACCTTCAAGATTATTCTATGTGTATTAACATAACAACACAATTTATGATTTGTTTTTATTCTATCCTTTTTATGATTGATACGGATGGTGCATATTAATCATAACAAAAAAAAAATATAACATTATGATTAATAGAAAATCTTGAAATTTAGTGTACAGTAATGCTTGAGCATGAATGAATGCTACGCCACTGCTGCTTATGTTGTCAAACAAAATATTGCCTTTTTATTTTTAAGCTTTATGCCTATATTAGATTTGTATTTGTTATTATCCTGGATGAGTGTTTTTTCTGTTTGGACGAGAACTTTTTGCCATGTACTTGTCCGCAGGACAAGTGGTTTTAAACAAGATGCCCAGAGGGCCTGTATCGCTCACCTGGATATCTAAGCAATCATGGCAAAATATTCTCCAAATGAGACCCAAGGGAATATTCCAGACCCCAATACCAATTCTTGTAGTATGTCTGTATTAGATTTTTCATGCTCAGTAATTTAATGTATGGTTATGGGGTGGGGATCTCAACTGTTTCAAAGCTGTGACTCAGAAACTAGATCCCTAAGGTTTTGGCCAGACCCCAGGATAAATTCTAATATCATGACTGCATTTGTATCTTTTTTTACAACATTTGTATTTATATTCTTGGGGTGGGGATCTCAACCATTTCAAAGTTATCACCCAGGGGTTAAGTCTGCAAGGGTGGGCAGAGTCGCAGACCCCAGGGTCATATCTAATAGCATGACTGCATTCGTCTATTTATGCCCAACAATTGTATATATAGTTTTGGGGTGGAGATCTTAACCATTTCGAAGTTATGACCCAGGGGTTAAGTCTCCAAGGGTGGGGCAGACCCCAAGGCCATCCTGGAAGCATATGTGCATTCATCTCTTTAGTGATAGAGAGGGGATCTCAACTGTTTCTAAGTTGTGACTAAGAAACTAGGTCCCTAGGGGTTCGGTCAGTCCCCAGGGTCTATTCTTATACCATGACTACTTTTGTCTCTTTATGCCAAGCATTTGTATATGCAGTTCTAGGGTGGAGATCTCAACCATTTCAAAGTTATGGCCAAGGGACTATGTTTCAAAGGGTAAGGCCAGACCCTAGGCCATCC